CGTCGACTTAGCCAAGTGGTTACGGCGACTGACTAGAAATCATTTGGGCTCTGCCCGCGTAGGTTCGAATCCTGCAGTCGACGTTTTGTTCTTTTTTTTCAAACTCCGAAATACTGTGTTCATTCCGTCAATTATTTGACACGCAATCGATTTTTTGGTTCCTTTTTTTACTCCATCTAATACTTTGCAAAAAATATATATTCATAATCCACAACTTTCCAAGTTCTCCAGCTACTCCTCGTGTGTGGTTCCCAAAACCTTTGATTTTGCCAAAAACCTATTCTTAAGTGCAACCAACAACGTTTCATTCTGCGTGTGTGAGTCTCCGACTGCAGTTACTTCATCTTGTGATTCACCAGCTGAATTAACAGCAGCAGGACCACCATTTTCACCAGATTCCGCAACCGAATACGGTTGTTTCCCACGTCTCTCTTTAATCAAATCCAAAACATCCTTAACAATCACAAATATAATAATAGGTAACGCAACCACTCGCGCAATAAACATTAAAAAGAAGGGCGCCGTTTCGACCCACGAATCAAACAACGATCCGCCTAATTTGCTGGTAATCAAGATTCCCACTGCGCCAAACGTAGAGTAAACTCCCGCCACGGATCCTCGAATGTCAGCTGGCACGTATTTCGCTGTTACTAGTGATAGAGATCCGACGATGAGACCAATTTCTCCGATTCCTACGAGGGAAACGGCAAGATACATGATTTTGGATGTTGGATCATCGATTGAATAGATCATAATGTATCCGATGAAACCAAACAAACTCGCGATAAACACACTTAAAGGACGATACACTTTATCGCCCAAAATTCCTGCGATATATTTGTATTAATTCAGGAAAAACAAGTACAAAAAATTGTAAAACTTACCGAAAAATGGGGCCCCGACTAAGGTCATTGTCTGGCATACTCCAGACAGCGTCGATGACAAAACGTAAGCTTGCCTACATGTTTCAGCAATATCAGGTTCACTTGGATTTCGTGCGGAACAAAGTCCACGAGATATGTAAAATTTATACTACAGTAAAGAAAAATCCGTTTCAAAACAACGCAAACCCAGTATGGAAAATGAGATCTCTTACCACCCAAAGAGGAATAAACGTAGTAACTAAAACAGAATCAGCTCGAGCCAAAAATCCACCAATATATCCAACCAAAATCACCGGATCACGAGCAGCTTTTATCCCCTCCAACGCAACAACCCAAACCGGTCTGCGTTTCGGTAAACTCTGGCTGCTTCCAGTCGTACCACTCGAGAGCAATCCCGTAGTAGAATTAGCAATACCAGATCCAGAACTAGCATCCGCCGCTCCATTCACACTCTTCGCCCTCTTAACTTCCTGATTTTCCAACTCCATCGCTTTTCCATACGACCTTCTCAAAGTGAAAAACAACACAACCCCAACCACCGCCGAAATCCCACCGACAATAAAGTATGCCTTTCGCAGACCAGCCACCGGATCTGCAGTAGTCGACGGGATTCGTAGGAACACAAATAACGCCACTAACGCACCGCAACCCGTCATCATGCCTACAATCGCTGAAACTTTCCCGCGGTCTTCGTCTCCGGCGTAATCAGCTAAAACCGCCGTCAACATACTTGACGCAGCTGATCCTCCGGATGCAAAGATTATACGGAATATCAAGAGTTGTGGGTAAACGTTTTGCGCATATGTGAATATGAATAATCCCAACGCCATCAATATATACCTAAACAAAAAAAAAACAAAAAGTGTAGAGTCATGATTATTCATTCAAATATTGTTTCATTGTTTGTATACTTACGATAACGAATAAACCGTTCTTCGTCCAATGAAATCTGACGCTAGCCCCCATAACCATACAAATACGAGTGAAAATAATTCGTCATAGAATGTTAATGACCCCGCATATGTTCCTAACTCTGTCTCGGGTACTTTGAGTATTTGTCCAAGTACAAATCCCTAAAATTATATTATTGGCATATTGCATATACCGTGTTTAGGGAGTCATGAACTTACTTGGCTGGCATTAAGAAAGACGAAGAAACAGACTGTGAATAAAGCTGCAAAGACTAGAAAAACATAGCGATTAATCACAACAGTCCGAAATCAAGTCTTTGAGGAAAACTAATTACGGTATGATAAGAAATTCAGCAAAGTGACGGTGGGCGCTAATTTCAGAAAACCGCAAATTCGTCCTTCTGTGCGAGACTTTTTCGGAGTAGACTGCGTTTGGGTCGGATTAGATATGGTAGTTTCTTCTTGAGCCATGTTTAAATGCTAAAGTAGCGGATTCGAATCCGATTTTACTTTTTCTTTTTGTCAACGCCCGATGGTGGCTCGGATGAATCAGCCAACCAAAATCGATGGTCATGGATCACTCTTTTTATGCAACAGCATTCTATAATAATAATGATAACAGTGTATATTGAAGATCAATCAAGATTTCATAAGTAAATATTTAATTAACAAAAAAACAAACAATAACGCTCAAATAAAAATAATGAAATGAACATAGTCCCTTGCCAACAATATTGATTCCTTCAATACCTAGATTGATCACTAACTGGTGTATATCTGTAAATCGCTAATTGTTGCGGTTGCCCTTGGTCTGAATAAACTGATGAAGGTCCTGATAGCATTTCGTTTTGCATTTGCGGGGTTCCGTTCGATGAAGATTGGTAATAAACATACTGATTTTCGCCATATGTAGTGACGGGAATTGATGTAAGTACTGGTGGTTGGATAGGGACAAGCACATGTTGAGGTTGTTCATTGTATTCCGACGAATAATCGCTCTGTGGTTGGAAAGGCGGTCTGTCACGGATAACTTGTTCATGGTATACTGCACGATGTTCGGGACGATCTGTGGATGGGATTTCCGAACGAGGCATCGAACCAAAAGAACTACTGTTTGTAGGAGCATAGCCAGTAGTCTTCTTCATGAGATTCTTCTTTCGGAAGAAGGAAACGGTGATGATAAATCCAGCGAGAATAACAGCTCCAGCCAAAAACAATCCAATAATAGTGCCAATTGGAACTCCTCCAACATTGGAGTCCTGCACTCGGATGACATTGAGTTGGGGTAAAGAGTTCGGGTCGTTTGCGTTTCCGCCAATATCGCTTCTGAAGCAAGATTCACCAGCTAAAGTCTGCCCGCAGTAATAAAATTCTTTACATATAATTTAAAATTAAAAATTAATAAAAAAAAAAGAACGAAAAACTCTAACCTGGACAATAACCGGTAAGAGAATCACAGCAAGTCGCATTAGCAGGCATACAACCAGTTCCACATTGCGTAAGGTTGTTTTGACATTTTACATTCGCGGTTGTTGTTGGTCTGGCTGCAATTGAAGAGGTTTGAAGTCCTGGGTTTCGAGTCACAGACGCATTCGGTTGAGGACTTGCACACGTATTCTTCGCGTTCCCACAAATCTGTCCAGCGAGACAGAACCATGCATCACCTGGACCGTTCCCACAGCAATTCGCAGTGCTTGGTATACAGCTTCCTGTAATTACAATAAATATCACAACTGAATGACATGATACCCAAACAAAAAACTTACCCCAGCATTTGACAGAACAGCTTGGCGGAGACTCAATCGGAGAAGGAGAAGATACTGGGGAAGACCTTTGTGAACTTGGTGGACTGACTGGTGGGGGAGACACGGGCGACACAAGCGGTGACTGGCTCACAATTGGCGAAGCTGGAGGGGAAACAGGCGGCGGAGAAACAGGCGGTGGCGAGACGGGAGGAGGACTAACAGGCGGAGGGCTAGGGGATAAATTTGAAGTGAGTGGAGGGGAACTAAATAAAGGACTAGTTATGCTAATTAAAGGACTGGTTGATTTGGAAGCAGTAGAAAAAAGTCAGTGGGAGATGTTTGAAGGGAAACAAAAGAACTGAGAGTTAATTCAGTACTCTTAAAAGGTACAGCTAAAGCACTAAATAAAGTCAGAAGGGGAGTGAGAGAAAATGAATAGAAGTGGGTGAAACAGTGGATGCAATAGACAGTGTGATAGTGGGAGAAATAGAAGGAATGGGTTTTAAAAAAGAAGTTCAAATGATATTCGATGGTTGGGATGAAAAAAAGCTGCAAAAAAGAGGACGTGAAGAACGTACGAGAAGGAGGAAGAATTAGTTCAGAAAAGAAACAAAGTAGGTCTTTGATCTATGACCAAGCTCGATTTGTAATAATTCTAAACTAAAGAAGAAGAAAGAGACAGAAAAATAAAAGTGCTTGTCCCGAAATGGGCCAAGAGACAAATTTAGCAGTGAGTGGGAAATTTCAAACTCTCCCAAAGACGCAAACAAAATAATAAGCTCCCCAACCCTCCCGATTCGTGAAAATAAGAAAGAAAAGAGGGAGGAAATGCATACCTTGGTGATGGTGATGTTTCTGTTCTCTGCGGACTTGGAACTGTTGGAGGACTCGGAGAGGGAGACGCAATCGGTGATAAAGAAAGAGACATTTTTCAAAGTTTTCTCTAGTTTTGCGGTCAACAAATTTAAGCTTTTTTCCGGGGACGTTTCAAGTCTCGAATCGAAAGTTTTTTATTTTTTTGGTCTCGTATCCAAAAGCCCAGCCACCGATTTTCCCACAGTCTCGAGTCATCACAACTCAATTCGGGGCTGTAAGAAACTCAGCATAACACGGCTATACACAACTTGAGAAGAATTTAATTCAAATAATATCTTCTTCATTCCCAATATCATATTAAAGATTCGCCGCGACTCAGTCATCATATCAGGTACAAGATAAATGCATCCGATAATCAGCGAGATCAAGATCAGGAAATGTTCACTAAACTTTGATATTAAATTGGTTCATTAGCTTATATTTTATTCATATATCATTTAAAAAGTCTTTCAAAGAAAACCCTGACTCAGATTTTTCCGTCTTTTTCGATTTCGATATTTGGAGCAGTTGGTTTTTATTCTTTAATCTTTCTTCCGTTGCTGTGCGGTTTTCTTCTTGATCGCCTCAGACTTTCCATCGTTTTTAGATTTCAGATCCGATGACCCTTGTGCTGGAGTATCAAGTTCGGGAACCGGGATGGAATCTACCTTATCAAGGTAGTATTTGT